AAAAAAAAAAAAAAAAAAAAAAAAAAAAAAAAAAAAAAAAAAAAAAAAGGCGAAACGCCTTAAATCTCGCTGGAAATCGTGGGATTTCTGGTGACTCATGCCTTCCAGCCAGGGCGTATTAATGTGTATTAAACCCTAGGTACCTTAGTAGCCGTCTTTTCCTTTTTGAGTCACTGTCATACCTATGAGGGAGGAGCCGAAGGGTTTAGGTGAGGGATCGAAAACGTTGTGAGACTTCAGATTGGGTTGGGAAATCAATAACGCCGTGAGCTTTAGGTAGGATTAGGTGCCAGTGTACGTCGGGCAAGGAGGAACAGACGCGCCACCAGAGATGGACGAACGACGATGCTTCAATAGGTGACAGTAGCCAAGCTCGCAATTAGGGCTATTGAGGTGTTCGGGCACAGGTCAACCCTCGGCATTCTGCGGTCCGTCTCGACTGGCGTGCAGCCCACGCCTCGCAGGTCGCACTCGGACACCACCATTGGGCCTCGTTCCTTTTCGGCCCAAACTAGAGGCACGCCCAGAAACCCTGCGCCATTAGGGTTCTTCGCAGCCCGTCGGTTTCGGATCCACCGGTGGCTCGGCTAGGTCGGCTCGACAGTGCGGCTTGGCGGCGTGGCTCAACATCCGAACAGTATACCGATTTTTAGGTTTTTGACCCTTCTGGAGCCATTCTCACCCTTGTTTCAGCCATCTGAGGTCAGTATAACTCCATTGTGATAAAATAGCTTGTGATACAAATGTACCTTGGTAGCTAGGCATAAGAGCTAGTTGTGAAAGGGCTCTAAATGTATCATGTTATCTTATAGGAGGTAGTTAGGCGCCGGAGTTAGTATTGTGGGTGACTTCGGCCAAGGCCAAGGAGGTAAGTGACCTTACTGTTGGCGTTAGTTATGTATGTATGTTGGTGCGTGCTATGTGGCCCTTGCATGCACCATATGTTGTTGCTGTATGCTAGGTTGGATGTTTCTTGCAGTGAAATACTATGCATGCTATGTTTATGTATGTGATTCTTGTAGTGAATTGCTATGTATGCCATGTTTATGAATATGATGTTGTGACATGGTGTGTTGCCCTGTATGTATGATGAGCTTGATTGACATGTCATGATTGTAATGAGAACCCCGCATGCCATGAATGAGATGACTAGTATGCTATGATATACTTGCTCAATGTGGACCTGGTTATGCTATGATATGCTTGCTCAATGTGGACCCGGTTATGCTATGTAATGCGGCGAGGGGATAGAACGTTGAATGTATAATGTCATGGAGGTAAACCTTAAGAACCTCATGCACGCTATGGTTATGTACCTGGGGACTCCCCTGTTATGCTACTGATGGTATAGATGCGTATATTCGATATTGTGTTCGCCATGATATCATGCAGGCCCTTCTTTGTCTGTGGCGTCCGGTATTGTATGTCATACATACCCGACCAAGCCAGGCCCAGGGAGTTCGCTTGCTAGCTCGCTTGGTGGGCCCACAGACACACACGTGGGCCATGTTTGGAAAATTACCATGCATCCACCCCCGCCCGGATAAAGCAAGGGCCTAAGGCCATGGGAAGGAATGGAAGACAGACCCCTCTCTCAGCTTCGTGCTTCTAACACCCTGCGGCATGTATGGTTATTATGTGGGACATGTATGGTTATTATGTGCGACATGTATGGTTATTATGTGCGACATGTATGGTCATTATGTACGACATGTATGGTTATTATGTGCGTTATGTATGGTTATTATGTGCTATAGTTATGGCTGTTATGTGCGACATGTATGGGTATTCTGTGCGACATGTATGTGTGTTGTGTGCGTCATGTATGTGTATTGTTTGCAACATGTATGTGTATTGTGTGCGACTACTTGTATCCAGATGTATGATTATGTGCTTAACCCCAACAGTGGGGCTACTTACTGGGTATTTTATATAATACTCAAGCCACGTGCTACCCATATTTTCAGGTAAGGGCAAGGCTCCCATGTACGGCTGACGGTGGATGCTGCGAAGGCCATGGAAATCCTGAGGAGAGTTTGTAGTGTCTTAGGTGCCTTGTTGGATTTTTTTGGGTTCATAGTTATTGCAATTGTTTCCTTTAGTTCTCTGTTGATTATTTCTAGGTTAGGTTGTCGTTATTGACTTCCCCAGGTATGAATTGCTTATAATAATGAACGCATTGTTGTTATTGAGACTGTCTTACATGAACTCTTGTTCGGTTGATTATGCAAGTATAAAGTAACATCACTAATTAGGTTAGAGAAAATTAGGGGCGTTTCATTACGTATGCATGCTTCATAGGCTCGTTATGTCATGAATAAATGGATGTATGACTAGCATCATAAGCTTATGCTTTGATTTCAAGTTATGAAGATCTCATCCATATTTACGTACGTCATGTGCATTAGGATTGTGAGATCCCACATCGGTTGGAGAGTAGGACGAAACATTCTTTATAAGGGAAATTTGATTATCATCAGTTCTACAAGAATGATTAGAAATTCGTCTAACTAGTCCTTAATCGTGAACCTAATTAATTATCATAGGTCTGGATAACTATAAAACTAGTATATATGACGTAGCTCCAGAACATGGAAAATGTTAACCGTTCATATTTAGGAGTGAAAGCTACCTAACCCTGAAATGAATAGGATTAGATGAAGGTGTGGCCCAAAATGGGATGACCCACATGGGTCACAACGTAGACGAAAAGGGCACCATGTGGTTCGGCGAAGGCACAAACCATAAGTATCATCTTTTTGTACCTTACACAACCTCTTTATAATAATAGGTGTAGAAGATGACATCCGAACTGCAATGCTTTTGTCAAAGTAATTTGGTTGAGAAGTGAATATAACAAAAGTAATTTGGTTTTTTCAAATCACAATGATTTCTACTACTTTTTCCTTCTACATTCATGAGCCCCCATATAAGAGAAAACACAAGGAAAAGAGAAAAAAAATTGTAATTAATGAATTCAGTTTCGGCACCTTATGATCTCGATATTCCCTTGCAACGTAGCCACGTTACTTACTCCTCGCTTTTTTTATGCGTTAAGACTATCCCTACAGGCTAACACGAGCCATTTTAGCACACTTTATCCCTCTCACATGCATACTAAGAAAATTCTCAGAAAGACACCAACCTAAAATTGCTATAGACAAAGTATGTTTAACCATGAAGTTCTTAGGGTTTAGCCAAATATATATATATATATATATATATGTATGTATGTATGTATGTATGTACACACGTCTTTAAGTTTTTTTTAGCCATCCTATTCTCAACATCGCTGTCATTCAAATGTGATCTTGGTTCATTCATATACCCCTTCTTTACTCGGGTGTCATGTGCCCATCAATTTCTGCATTGATTCTTCCTCGAACCATATGTTACTAGGAGAGGTACCGCTCTAATACCATTTATAACAACTCATGTCCATGATTCAAAATCCAGATTCGAACACTGTCATTCTCCTAGATTATCTTTTCTACTTGAGTTTCACATGTCCACTAGCTCCTATCATTGTGGGCGTGTGACACCTGAGTAAAAGAGAGGTACATAAATGAAGTGAGATCACGTCTAAATGAGAGCGATTCTAAGGAGAATGACTATATTTAAAAAATTGGAAGTCACTACCTATACCAACCACGTACACCTTCATATTTTTGTTGTTCAATCAAAAGAATTCTAAAGTTATGCATGCTTTATTTGAAGTAATCTTATGTTGAGTTACCACTTGGAAAACAATCAAAAGAATTCTAAAGTTATGCATGCTTTATTTGAAGTAATCTTATGTTGAGTTACCACTTGGAAGTTTTCCAAGGAGTGAAAACAAACCATATTTAAAGAACAGGTATTTGTTTATAGGGATAGCCTTCGCTCTTTGAAGACGGTCCAAACCAAAATTAATAATTTATTAATCTTTTCATTTCTTGACCAATAAATTTACCAACTTTAAAATATGTAATAAATTATTGATTTTTTTACAAATTATTAAATTCTAGTTTTGTGTTAGGTAAAACCTAACCTATTAATTTAGGTGAATAATTTTTAAAAACATTTACCAAAATTTAACAAAAGTTTCACGTGACAGACACCTGGAAAAAAGCGTGCCCACTTTTCTTTCACGTACTATATTTATTGAACCTTTTGTTATGCATTTAATATTTACCATAATTGCATAGTTATGTACACAAAATAATGCAACATCTATACATCTACCTTAAGGGGAAAAAAATGGTCAATTGACCATTCTTGTGACTCACCATTCTTAATAAAGTCTCTACTTAAATGTTCTAAGTTCCTTAACAAGGTGTACAAAAACGTAGACCAACACGATATTTATTATCATTGTATCTACTTATACAAAATTCAATAATTGCGAGCAAAGTTCCAACTATAAACCTTTAAGATATTAATTGATATTTTATTTTGTATTTTACTGTGAGATCTCACTTCGATTGAAGAGAGAAACGAAACATTCCTAATAATGATATGGAAATCTCTCCCTAACCGACGTTTTCTAACATCTTAAATGAAAGTTCGGAGGAAAACCTAAAGAAAACAACATTGAAGATTCTAATTTAATTTATGTTCCTTAAGAAGGTGTTAAAAAAAAAAAAAAACATTTAAGATTGAATTATGATAATTAATATTATCCCCACCTAAAAGTAAATAAATGAAAATGAAGTTTAAAGGAAAAATGGGTGCATTAATTGGGTGTTATGTATATAATAAAGTGCTATGTCTTTCCGAAGGTTTATGGCCAGTTAATGGGAATATTTTATTGGTCCACGCGTATTTTTCTAGGGCTAAAAAGGTCTATTATGACATCATACAAGTTACGAGCAGAGAATATTTAAAATTATTTAAAATTTTGATATTTTAAATCCGAAAATAATCATTCTTCATTCATCTCCTTTTCTTAATCGTTCATGTCTAATTGTGGATTATAACGTCTTTGATCAAAATATAATTTAACTGGTCAAGAAATATATGTTATTACAGTATTAAATATTCCTATTATGTATACAAATGAGATCAAAGTATGAAAATTCAAAAAAAAAAAAAAAAAAAAAATCCAAGAAAATATTGGGAAAAAAAAGGAAGAGGGAAAGTGAGATTTATCTGTAAGATTTAAGAAGAGCGCCACAAGTGGAACAAATGATGGCCTTCCAGAAGGTGGAGTGGATGGGAATCCGGCAAAATGTGGTGGAGGTTTCCATTTCCGCCACCCGAGCTCCCCGTCCGCAGCGGGAGCACGTTCCAGCCACCGGCTTCGTCCGCCGTACCGTCCTCCTTTGGTGGATCAGAAAACAGAAGCAAACCATTCCTGCCGGCGACCTCTGTGTGTGTCTCTCTCTGTCGTGGATGGAAACTGTATTTTGGGTGTGTCTATGGCGGCCTCTCAATTTTGTTTATATACACAATTCTCACTTCTCATTATTTATTCTCAACAATACCCATTCTACCCCTCCTTTTCTCATTACTATATTTCCATTCCTCATTCAATTTTTCCATTATTTATTTACCATTAGTATATTCCTAAAATATCAAAATAAGAATTTGAACTTTCACAAGTCGAGGTTTCGATATGAGTTTCGACATGCAGTTTAAGAATTAAGTCCGTCTATATAAAACATGAAAGCTCACTAAATTTGTTGTCAATCGGATACTTGACAAAGTATGTAGGGATCGTATGTCCACTCCCCAATATGACATCTACTCGAGAATGATTGAAAATGCCTCAAAATATACTATAGTGGGAGACATGATATCATCTCTCCACCACCTCTGACCTTTTTGGCCCAAGCGAGCTACCCTTGTGACACATGCATGTGTCACAATGAGGGTGAATAAGAAGTAATGGAATATGTTATTTTCGGTTGGTTAACATTTAATTCCTACTACTTGATTAAACAATACCTAAATGCCTCTTTGGACGAACATTTATGATTAGTTAATAAAAACTTAATCTAAATTCTCCAATAAGAATATTTTATTTTTTAATATAAATATACGTTGTTGGAGGAAAGTTCCACATTGACAAACTTAAGGAATGATTATGAATGTATAATAAAAAAAAATACTATCTCCAATCGAATGAGGCCTCGTGAGGAAGCCCGAAGTAAAGTCATGAGAGCTTATACTCAAAGTGGACAATACCATACCATTGTGGAGAGTTGTGTTCAACTAACATGGTATCACAGCCATGTCAATAGAATTCTCAAATGTCGAACAAAAGTATTGTGAATCTCGAAGACATAGTAAAAAATGACTAAGACTCCAAAAGAAAAAGAGTCGAGTCGAGTCTCGATTAAGAGGAGGTGTTTGATGAACATGGGCTTAAATTTTTGCAAATTCAATAAGATTAATTATGAACCAACTTGAAGGTTGACCCCAAGTCCGAGTATACAAATTGTGTTGGAATTTGAAAAAATCTTAATCCTTAAGTCATTCACTTTATTTCTTACTCGGAGTTGATTAGACCCAATGCTCCGTGGGGTAGGGTGGGGGACACACATTAATTTCTTCTTTATGCCTATATTAATGTGTTTACTATTTCGAAAGTTAAATCATTCATTTGATTTCATTACATCATTAGTATAGCGTCTCAACGTCCCAAATTTTGGTTGTCTTTTGAACAAAATATTTGTAACTATCTCATGTCTAAAATATAGAATTTAAATTAAATATTTAATGGCTCTGAATTGGACATCCACATGCACATATAGGCTTACACATTCCGTATATCGACATCCAATGCTCCGTATATGTACATGCACATGCACATGGACCCACTAGGCGATTATCCCATTTTCTTAAACCCTAATCCTAAATATACGCTTACACGCTCTCGTATAGTCATGCATGAAGTCCTGCATAAATATCTAATAAACAATAAAAAAATACTTGTTAGTCATACAACACAATAGTGCATCCAATTAGCCATCGAGATTCCAACAGTGAGCCCACTTACCGTTCAAGCTCAATTTGGTGCTCTTAAGCTTGCTTTAATCAAATGTTCTCGATTCAATTTCACATAGTCTAATTTCACATTCTATCCACTTATAAAATTGAGCTAAGAACCCAACTTGAATCCAATATCATTTAACTATCCCAAAATTAATTTTAAACTATGCTAGAAATATTTAATTACATAATCAATTTCACAACGGTTAAAAATTCGTTGAGGAGAGAAGTTCAGAATAGAATTTTCAATAGATTGCCAAATTCTTGTTATTTACAGATCCACACGACCCTCAGTATGCTCTTTTGGTATTACGAAATTTGGAAGGCATGTTCGAAGCGTTCGAGAATTCGTTGTCAAATAAAAGAATCTCAGTACGAAGGAAACAAGCTGGGAATGGATCTAGGATCTGTGCTCCACCATGCATCACATTGCAAATTTTAAACTTAGTCGGTTGACATGGACGTTAGCCAATTATGTGGAGGAGGATGTTATAGTCATGCTTGTCCAAGACATATTGTCTATGGCTGCATGCTCGTGACATGTCAAACTCTTTCTACTTGCTTTTATGTTGTATTACTTTCTTATTACATGTCCAGCAAAATCATGTCTACTCTTGCCAGATCTAAATGGTCCCGACCAAGTATTGTAATCGCTATTGCCTACATGTTTTCAATGCAATTTACTTTTACTCACCAGCGTTTTCTAAAATGTAAGCGAGGATACATGAGAACCTATTCGGATGATATTAACTCAAATCACAACATTTTTAAAATTTGAAAACATAAAACTAAGATATTACATAAAACAAACCCCAAAAATGGACCAAGAATTTTGGACCCTTTACATGTCAAAATCTTCCCTTTCATACCCTCCTCCATGGATCTTGCTTTATATATTTAGTTGATTTCTTGATTTCGGGGACATTTATTTTTGTTAACAAATCTCATTACGGACATGTTTAATTGTCAACTAAACCAATAATTGAATGAGTGTTTTATTCTCAAACCATTCTTTTTCATTACCCTCACTTATGATTAACATAAATGTGACTGTTTTCTAAAATATGATAAATAAATAAAAAAAACGTCGAAATATCAAACTCTGGTTTAAACCATTAATTTGGTAGACAAAGTTGGTAAAAGTTTGGTAAAAATTAAAGGTGTTTTTTTCTTTTCCATTTAATGAACTAGGGGCATAAAAATAATTTTACCTTGTTACATCGTAATTATTTGCTAGGGATCGGGAACATTATGTTTTAAAATGGGTCTATTTTCAAACGTTTAAAAGACCCATAGACACAAGACAAGCATATCTCTAAGAAGAGTGCATACACCCTTGCCAAGCTAGAAATTCCAAAATTAGCCCTCAAAATATTGAGTTTAGTTTTGTGTGTATAAAAGAGTTAAAGCAGAAATAAAGATGGGAGGAGGCCCAGTATTAAAATGTATTTTATGTATTACGTTTAGTTCGGGTCAATCTAAGGTTTTTATTCAATGAACTCGAAACCGAACCCAATCATTTCGGGTTTAGGAAAAATAATCCAACCCAATTCCTATAATTCGAGTTGGGTTGATCCGAGTTGTCGGGTTGTATATACACCTCTACCCAAGATTTGATGTTCGTATTCTTTTGGATATACACAGGCATAGCCATGTACCAACACACCAAGTTTGGCTTGAATGAGACATATATATGTCAACTATATATCCAAATTCACTCAATGTTACAATGTCTTCTGTGTATGATCTTTAAAGTTGAATGATTCTAAGTGATTTTTTAGAACTATTATATTCCAATTACCGTTCAATCATGTTTAATGTACGTTTCAGTTATGCTCTAGATTTTGTTGAGTTCTTACGCTAAATGATGGATGAAATTTAACCATCGTGAGCTTTTATTATGAATTTCATTTACTTGTACAATCGAGCAAGAGACTTTTAAGTTCACATTATGACGATTTTGAGAATTTTTTCAATGTTCTAATCATTAAGTTAGGAAGCAATAGCTGTGGTAGTCCTAGGTCCTCTTAGATACTTGGATAATTGGACTAATCTTTGTGAGCTTACATGATGAGAGAGTTCTTGTGGGATTATGAGCATTTTCAACATTACAAGACCTTTGTGTGTCTTTAGAGCTCAGAAGTTGAACTACTTTGTAGGCACATACTTGAGAATTTGTGGGGGCTTTTTGGTGGGCACCCCGTTCTACAAAATAGTTTTTGCCTTGAACTGCCACCCGTCCGGGAATTAGATACTTTGCCACTTTCAACTTGTAAAACAAGGGAGTCGAACATAAATATATCGAGACCACGTTCCAATGAAAGTGATCCCGAAGATGTGATAACTAAGAAACACTAAAAAGAAATAAAATTTAATATATATACGAATAAGGTGTACCCACCACTAGGGTTCAGGGCGAGATCAGTTTGCTTGGCTTGAAGCATACAATTTTAACAACCAAAATTTTGAAGGTAGAATAAAAGGAATTTGGATTAAATAAATATTAATATATACGAGAGAATTAAGAAAATTCAACTATCGCTGGCCATGTGGTATCAAGTTTTTGACTCCAAGAGATGACTGAATAGTAAGAAAGTTTTCAAAATGCCGTGTGCGATCCCACATCGGTTGGGGAGGAGAAAGGAACATTCTTTATAAGGGTATGAAAACCTCTTCTTAGAAGACATGTTTTAAAAACCTTGAGGGGAAACTCGAAAGAGAAAGCCCAAGGAGGACAATATCTACTGTTGGTGACCTTGGGCCGTTACATGCGAGTTCTGGCTTCAAAAGGTAATTTCCTTGAGCCCCATGGTGTCGAAAGAAGGAACAGTAGTGGACCTGACTAAGGTTAATGCAGTAATGGAATAGTCTCGTCCGACTATAGTGGTCGAGGTACGTAGCTTTCTGAGACTAGTAGGCTACTACTGTGGGTTCATATAGGATTTCTCTAGGATTATAATCGCCCTGTCCCAGTTGACATAGAAGGGATAGTCGTTTTATATGAGATTGAGCATGAAGACTGGTAACGACGCCAATGCTTATAATACCGAATGGGACTGGGAACTTCATTATACATATTGGTGCATCGGGGAAGGGACTAGAATGTGTACCAATGTAGAATGAGATGGTGATTGTCTATGCCTCCCAATAGTTGAAAGAATACGAGAATAACTACCAACTTATGACTTGGAGTTGGTGTAGTGGTCTTTGGCCTGAAGATCTAGAGGCATTACTTGCATGGAGAGAAGATATAGATCTACATACATCACAAGATCCTCAAGTGAACATGAGGTACATGAGGTGGTTGAAGTTAGCCAAGGACTACGATATGGACATTGTCTACCACCTAGGCACAACAAATGTAGCCGTCGAATGCCTAAGCAGGAAATGGCCCACGTCGACACTGACACGAAA